GTTTCTCACCCAAGCATTTGAACTCCAGGCCAACCTAGGAGGCATCTTCTTCAGAGTGGTTGGAGTGTCTTTGTTAGTTCGAAGAGGCTTGTTGCTGGGGATGCATTCATATTTCTTAGGTTCGATTCGTGAAACCCTCTCTGAATTTATTTGTTCCATTATTAGAATCTGACTAGTAGTGTTGTGCTACTTTAGAGGTGAGAATGGGGATCTTCGTGTTGGAGTTAGACGTGCCATGAGACAGCAAGGAAATGCTCCATCATCGGTGATATCCAGTCATAGCATGCATCTTGGTGTACTTGCAACAGCTTGGCATGCCATTCAAACAAAAACGATGTTCACTGTGTATTACAAACCAAGGTACCTGGTCTGAAATGACTAAATAAAGCACCGACTGAAAGGATGTAACTAGAGATCTTTGATTATAAGTTAAATGTTACATTTAGTCTTTCTCCGGAGGTTGGAAACTTGGAACAGTAGCTCATGTTGTTTTATTGCTTGTTGTCTATACATTTGGAAACATTTTATAGTATTTCTCCAGTGGTTGGTATTAATAGTACATGTTGTTTCATTGGTTGTCCTCTATGCATTTGGGAACCATTTTATTTTAATCGGTTGCCCACTAGAATACCTGGCTGCTTCGTATGTTTGATGGCCTCCTAATATCAATAACTCAACATACTTTACCATTTATTTTTTGATTGGTATCTTTTATGTCCATTTATTGGGGAAAGTAGGGTGAGAAAGTAGGTACTTGAATTATTGTTGGTGTTTAACATTGACAAAAGGATTAAACCTTCCTTACTAACTTACTGTTATGTTACAGGACAAGCCCTACTGAGTTTATAGTTCCATATGACCACTATATGGAATCTGTGAAGAACAATTACTCTATTGGAATGAGGTTTAAGATGAGGTTCGAAGGTGAAGAAGCTCCAGAGCAAAGGTGGGCAGCAGTTTATTTTTTAGAAATCATCTTTTTACTGTTTAAATTGTGAGTTGCAGGTTGTAATCTTGACCTGTGTAATGGACTAATTGACAGGATAAAATGAGTCATTTGGTGACTGGCTGTTGATCATTTAGAGTGTTGATTTAATTTTTCTGTAGCAGGGTATTTTCTATTCAATTCTATAATTTAACCAACTTACAATGTTTTATAGGTTTACTGGAACTATAGTTGGCATTGAAGATGCTGATCCCCAAAGGTGGCTTGAATCTAAGTGGAGATGTCTGAAGGTAGTTTCTACTTTATTTTCCTGGTTTGACTGTTTCTTTTACCTCATATCACATTGAAAGTCATTCATTTCTGGTTTCGTTAGGTCCGGTGGGATGAAAATTCTAGCATTCCAAGGCCAGACCGAGTTTCACCCTGGAAAATAGAACCAGCTCTTAGCCCTCCTGCACTTAATGCACCTCCAGTCGCAAGGCCAAAAAGGCCTAGATCCAGTATTTTGCCCTCATCTCCTGATTCATCTGTCCTTACTAGGGAAGGTGGATATCTCATCCTGATCTTTTCTATTCAGTATCTTGCACCGCTTATAAGTCTTGTGTTCAATCTAAGTAATTGTCACGTACTTTCTTATTTTTTGTTAAAGGTTCATCAAGAGTGACAGCAGACCATTCCCAAGCCAGTGGGTTTCCGAGGGTCTTGCAAGGTCAAGAGTTATCTACCTTTAGAGGCGGTTTTGCAGAAAGTAATGAGACAGACTTGTCTGAGAAACCAATGATATGGCAACCATCAGTGAATGATGAAAAGAATGATATTCATTCTGCATCAAAGAGATATCTTCCAGATAAATGGCTACCTTTAGGGAGGCCTGAGTCGTCTCTCACAGATTTATTATCAGGTTTTGGAGTGCCAAATAACTCCTCCCATGGGTTCTGTCCCTCTGCGGACCAAGCTGCATTTGGTGCTAGCTTGGTGAAGCAACAAACACAAGATCAGGAAAAGGATTTTAGCTTATTGGGAAAGCCATGGTCTCTTCTGTCTTCCGGTCTATCTCTTAATCTGATGGATTCTGGCTCAAAAGCTCCTGGCATAGGGGGTGATACTCCCTATCAAATGCGGGGAGATGCTAGGTATAGTGGTTATGGTGAGTTTTCAGTCCTCCCCGGTCATAGGGTTGCAAATCAGCAGGGAAGCTGGATTATGCCTCAACCAGTGTCGCCTTACATGCATTCAAGAGAAATGATGCATAAACCCACTGTAGTAAAGCAACCTGAGGCTGTGAAACCCAAAGAGGGTAACTGCAAACTATTTGGCATTCCCCTGACAAGTAATGTTTGCACAGATCCTGTTATGATGCGGAAAAGTTCATTGATTGATCCAGCAAGTGACATGAATATTGGTATACACCCTCATCAATCCCTTGCCACTGATTCTGATCAAAGGTCTGAGCAATCAAAGGGATCAAAGGTGGATGATGGAATTGCAGCTAATGATCATGACAAACAATTTCATACCTTTCATCTTTCTGCTAGAGATAGGGATGGTAAAGGTCATAGTAGTTCTACAAGGAGCTGCACAAAGGTTTAAATCTGATCTTTTGTCACAACTTTAGCTGTTGGCTTTAATGAAATTTCTAATGATTTATTTTTGCCTACAGGTTCATAAACAGGGTACAGCACTCGGAAGGTCCGTAGATCTTGCAAAGTTCAACAATTATGACGAATTGATTGCTGAACTGGATCAACTTTTTGATTTTAATGGTGAACTCAAGGCTCGGAGTAAGAGTTGGCTGGTTGTATATACTGATGATGAGGGTGACATGATGCTTGTTGGAGATGATCCATGGCAGTGAGTACTTAATATCATTGCTTTTATATATCAAAGTGATTATTTTCTTTCCTCCTGCGCTCTGCTTACTTGTGTAGTTTTTCTAGATCAGTGCTGTGTTTTTTGTATTTGTTACATTTATCTTATCGGCTTGCACTGGTTTGAAACAGGGAATTTTGTGGTATGGTTCGCAAGATTTTCATCTATACAAAAGAGGAGGTGCAGCGTATGAATCCAGGGACCCTTAATTCAAAAGGCGAGGACACTTCTTCTGTCGCTGAGGGCTCAGACGCTAAAGAAGTGAAGAATCTGCAACTTCCTTCTGAATCTGGTCAAGCAGAATCTTAGGTTTTCCTCCAAAATTGAGGTACTCGGAAAAGATGTACTTGAAGAGCAAGTGATTCCTTTTTTGCTTCAGTTTTTTGAAAACATTTTCCCTGTAAATTAGGGTGGGAGATGCCTCCAGGTGTTTTTGCTTAATTACTGTTGTTTTGTATTTGACAGGTTTATAAGATAGCGAGGAGATGGCTTTTATCCACCTAGGTGTTACTTTTTTGGGGATTTTTGAATATAACCTACAATATCAACTCCCTTTGACTTCTGGATGGGGATGGTCTCTTCATATAAATGCAGCTTCAGTATTTGCAGTTTTGAACCCTTTTTTGGAGCCAATATCTGGCCCCTATCTATCTATACATAGTATATGTAAATTATCAGCGTTGGTCATTAACCTTGCTTCTGCCAATCTCACTTTGTACATACCAATTTCTCTAGCTGTAGCTGTAAGTAAGATTCCGATTCTACTATGTATGTACCTGCCTTACTGTTGATTTTTGTGGAAGTGGTATCCAACTGCTTTGGGCAGATAACATATTTTGTATCAGCAATTATGGTAATGCGATATAGGAAAAAAAAAAAAAATCTGAGTGAAGAGCTTTTTGTGTTGTGCAATTTTGGTCATTGGCCTGTCCATCTATTCTTGTTGGCCAGGTTCCTTACCCATTGTCTTCTACACAACCATATTGCTGTTTGCGTTTGGAAAGTTGGGCAAATCAAGTAGTTGTATTAATGTTTGATATTTGAATTATAGGATAGTGTGATTTGGTAGAGCAGCAGGACATTGTAAATTCTTCATACTGGGTTTGGGTTCTTCTTCACGCATGCTTTATGTAGCAAGCCAAGGTCTTTTTTTCGTTTTAGATAATTAGTTTTGTTAGAAGACAGAAATGGCAAGCTACCAAAATTCAGTTAGTATACTACGTAAAAGAACACAAACTCAAATATATCTTTGCATAATCATCCTGGAACAAGAACTTCACAATTGCAATAGTATTCTATAGGGGCGTAAAAAATGAGTCCAATTATAGGTAACCTATCCAACCCGTCTAGAATTTTAAGGGTTGGACTTCAAATTATTTGAATTAGGTTCAATTTCAACTTATTCAAGTTCTAATCCATTTTAAGAGAATCTTCAATTGAACTCAATTTAATCTGAATCTGTTTTAAAATGTTTTTTTGCATTAATGTAATGTATGTATGTTTGAATTACTATCTATTTTATATCTTTTAGGATTTCTCAGCCCAAAAAGTTGCTAAATTGGACGTGGATTCATGCTCAAACAAAGGATTTTGGTGCCAAGGATTCACTTTTCTTTCCTTGTTTTTATTAGATAGTTTTTTGGCAAGAATTTTGGTAGTATCTTTACATTCCTTTTAGTTAGATTTTAGTATTTAGTTATTGCCATACATGTTATTTGGTATAGATTTTCCCTAGATATAGCGGTGAATTTTATTATTTTTTATTTACAAGAACAATATTATTATTATTTGATAGTTTGTCTTCTTTACACCTCTTCTGAGGGGTAAGATTAGTTGACATGGTAGAGGGACAAATATGACCCTTTTCCGTTGATTTTATTAGTATCATGATTAGCCTTAATCTGATAATTTTAAAATACTAAATACTTAATCTTGAACTTTGAGAATTTTATTATCTTTAATCTTCGTATTTTCATTTCCGCATTATTTTCTTATTTTTTCCAAGTAAGGTGATTCTTATCACAGTCGCTAAGTATTTGTCTAACATAATTATCGTTGCAAATATTATTGTATTAATCGGATTTTAATTAGGCAAAAGTTTAATTCAATTGAGTGATCATTTCATTTATATATTATCTGTGAATTCTCATTTTCTCAACTGAAATGAAAAGCAGTTACTGCAAAATAAAGAAAGATCAAGCTGGACTAGGAACTTGTTGAAAGGACTATTATCATAGCATTCAGTTTTGGAGCTTCATAAGCTCAATGTTTCTCCTAAAGAAAACACCAATATAACTGACTAAAAAAGAAACGACAACCCGGTGCACTAAGCTGTCCCGGGAAGGGTCGGACCACCATGGCCTGTAACCATCTAATTACATGAAAACATAAGTAAACTAAAAAAGCAGTATAGGAAGTCTGAGGTCTAAAAGCTATAGCACCCTGAGGTCCAAAATCTTCGATAGAGCCTCTCCTTCGTATACCAGAGCAGCTTATATCACCCCCCCATTAAAGCCAGCAGAGTCCATCAACACAGCTTTGATCTGATCTGGATGAATGTCTTGACCTTCGTTCGATTGCTGCAATTAAATATAATCTAAAATTAATACTATTACATTTTTAATCCTACTGTCCAAGATGGAAGTTAACAGAAAGAAGGTACCTCAGCTCGGAAGACATCCAACACAAACCCATTGAAGCAGCTGATAACAGCTTGTTGAATGTCCAGTCCAAGACTGTCCAGAGTCTTCATTGTTGAGAGTAAAACCCCTGGTTTGCGGCTGCAGATCATATGAATGTTCACCGCTCTTCCTTCCCTGACCCTCACTTCAATCTACATGAATAAAAAGAACAACGAATGCATATCATCGAAACCAATAACATAATGAATAATTCTAAAAGAATGAGATGCCAAGATTACCCTTGCAGGTTGGCCAGTAGGGCTGGACAGGGGGCTCGGAAACGAACTTGGAACAAGTTCCTCCTTTATACGACTTGGCAGAGCTGACGCAGTCGGTGTCAGAGGATAGAAGCTGGTTGCTGGACTCAATGAAGAGTTAGCTGGTGTGGACTCCAACTCATTATGCAGCTCATTGATGTCCTGCTGAAGCTCCTTCAAGTACTTAATTGCATCTCCTAAGATAGAAGCCCTGTCCATCTGCCAACATACAAACCAAATCAACTAATTCACCAAGAGGGAAAGAGTGATTACTTGTCCCAACAATTGTTCATACAACAAGCCAGTGAAATAGATAACAACTCTTTACTGTAGGGGGAGGTACCTTTCAAGAATAGTTCTATTCCCTATGTGGTCCAAAATTAAGATGCGCTTTTAAAAATCATCTCATACAGTCCATGTGATTGAATTAAATGCTACACTATCAGTTTGTACTTAATTTTTGAACTATGCAAAACTCTTACCACAAGTTAATCTTAACAAAAAGGAAACTAAATAAATGGAAGCTAAATGCTGATGATTGTAAATGGCTAAAACATGTTAAATTCGTAATCGAAATTCACGAGAATTTTCTGTAAAAAACAAAAATCATACCTTAGTAATCTTTGGGACTACAGATCTCAGCATGTAAAGCCTGTCATTAAGCTTCTTTCTGCGGCGTCGCTCGGCCATCAGATTCTTAGCTGGAAGTCCCTTCTTCTTCCCCTTTTGATCAGCACCACTGACAGTGCTGGCTGCATTTGAGCTGTTTTCTCCTATTTTGATCCCATCTTCGGTTTTGTTAGAGATATCGATGAACTCATCCGAGTCGTAATTCAACGTTCCATCCATGCTAACATCTTCAAATTCATCATTGATGCTGAACTTCCTTTTACTATCGTTCCATTCCTTATTCTTATCAAAACCTTTTAGATTACTGGAAGATTGACCGATTTCTGTACCTAAGCCCCCTAAATTTTCACCATGGTTGCCCAAGTTCTTAGCAATCCTTTTCTGGAAAAGAGTTGGCTGTGCTCCAATCGAAGCAAAATTATCTAAAGGTTTATGAGTTCTAGACCGATTCAGAAACAAAGTGTTTCCGTTAGCAGAATTGTTGTCCCCAAACCCCATGGAACTATACCCACCAGCTACCTGAGGTATCTGGAGCAGATTAGGAGAAGAAAACTGAGTATAAGAACTCAGATTGTTCGTCCCCAACTGGTTTTGTGAACCCAGATGATGAAACCCAGTGTTTATCATCCCATTCCCACCTTGATTCATTGCACCCAACGAATTGAAGCTGCTCTCCAATGGGTTGTTGGATAACCCAGTGAGTGAAGGAGGAATAGTAGATTTTTGGGGCATGAAGAAGTTTACCTGAGAAGGGTCAAGGTTGTTGAAAACACTTCCAGAAACAGGCGAGCAAGAGGATGAAGAATCCACAGGCTGCAGAAGCAAATTGTTTTCAGCTTCAGTGAAACTCGTAGAGTAAGAAATGTGGCTCTGCATGTTGCCACCACCACCACCATTGTTGTTGTTGTTGATGTGATGATTGTTATTAGCAGCACCACCCATGAACCACTCCACACCTCCATCATCAACCATAGCTTGGAAATTAGAAAAACCACCATTGTTCTGTTGATGATTTTCATTGGGAAAACCACCATTGTTCTGTTGATGATTTTCATTGTTACCATTATTCTGATTAACCCAAGCACCAGTTCCTCCATCCTCCTTACCATCCATCCAACCCATACCATTTATCCCAGGCATCATTTTTTCTGAAAAAAAACAAGTTAAACAGAAAGAATAATCAAAAGGGTGTTACTTAAAAACAACAAAAACAAAAACAAAAACAGAAAAGGGGTTTCAAAAGAAGCAGAAAAACAGGGGAAAAGACATACAGAGTAGCAGCAGAGAAGAAAGGCAAATACCTTTTTTTTCCCTTTATATGAGAGAGAAGACAACTTAACACAGAGAGAGAAAACTCTGCTCTGCTATCACTATTATTACTGCTAAACTTTCTGCTTCTGCAAATCCACAGTTAAGCCTGAATTTATAGCAATATTTGCCAACTGATTATGGTAAGTAATGATTAGTTTTTTGGATGGATTCTTGATCTTCCTATGGAAGAGATAAAAATGGCAAATTTCTGGGCTTTATTTTGTAATTAAGCAAAACAAAGTCATTATTAAAGTTGACAGAAGTTTGGCTTCTTCTATTCGAGATACTTTCTTATTTTGTTTTTAAGACAAACAAACCAGTCTACCTACTTCTTTTATTTTGTCTTTACGCGATGTCTGGTATTTGTTTCGTGACTACTTATTTTCCATTTTTTTAAAATGGAAGATTACACGAGGTATTTTATTGATATTTGTAATTGAAATTACTTAACTTTGAAATTCGTGTGTTCATACGAAGTGTATTATTGATATTTGTATTGAAATTCACGTGTTCATACGAGGTGTTTTGTTGATATTTGTATTAAAATCACTTAATATTAAGTTCATGAGTTTATACATAGTGCAATATATTCCTTAACAAGAAGGAATTCATATTTTAGACTTGAGAATCTATAGTTAAAAATGAAAAAATATATATTTATTAATTTATTAGTATATTCAAGGGATAAGGGTCTGAAACATATCTTAACTTTTGTCGAAATTGTTATTACGATACCAAACTTTATTAAGGACCTATTACCCCCCTGAACTATTTAATAGTGTATTTTTTTTATCCCTTGAACTATTTAATAGTATATTTTAAAGGTATATATGTGCCCATGTGGACACAATACTATTTATAATTACGCATTATTTTTTATGTCCACGTGGGCAAATATATATTTTAAAATACGATATTAAATAGTCTGGGGGTAATAGGTCCTCATTAAAGTTTGGTATCGTAACAACAATTTCGGCCAAAGTTGGGATATTTTTCAAACGCATATCCCTATATTCAATATTCTTATTGAATATCTTGATTAACTCGAATTTATATTAAGCATTTCAATTTATATTTAATTAAAAAATTATGTCTTAACAAATTTGATTTTATATTTGTATCTCAAACTTAAATTATTTAATTATAAATAAAAAAATATTTGTGATTACCAATCATTTCTACATTCTACTTTTAATACTTGTTTATTCCTTGAGAAAATGACCAAATGACCACCCAACCTATTATCGGATTTCCAACTACACACCTATTCTTTGCGGGAATTCTATTAGCCACCTGAACTATTTTAAAATGGAATAAATAACCCCCTAAGTGTTGAGTTGGTATGAAGAGTGTATGTCACTCTCTTTGAGAGAGTGAGTTGCCTAATTTTTTAAAATTTTTGTTTTTTTCTAATTTTCTTTTTTCTTTTTTCTTTCTCTTTCTTTCTTCTTATATTTATCTATGCAACTATACCTTTTTCACCATTATCATTGTTGAAGCTTTTTCAATGAATGTTTGGTATAAAAATTATCAAGAACTAATGCATTTTATGAATAAATAATTTTTCAATAGACTTATTTAGAACATAAACAAATTTTTTTTTCAAACTCATGGACTCAAGAGTAACAAAATCAACGTGAAGTAATTGTATATTTAAAAAATATCTTCAAACTTATTGAAAGAAACTAAAACAAAACAATTTCTTCTATATTTTTAAAGAAGGATCCTACATGTTCTCCTAAAACCATGAAGAATCAAAATAAAAAACTCAAATTATAAATTAATCATGAAAATTTTAGAGGGAGAAAGAATAAAGAATGGAAAAGAGAAAAGGTGACTTGAATTTTCGTTTTTATAAATTGTTAGAGATATAGAAATTTATTGAGGTAAAAAAATGGTGTTTAGAATAGTTAGGGTTGAAAAAATGATTGGAGAAGAAATGAAGAGGAAGGAGGAGAACTTTAAAAAAAATAAAAATTATTAAATGGTGAAATACGCGTGTCGAGTGCATGTATTTCACCACAAGACACATGCCTAATAATGACATTTCAGGGAGGAAATAATTACACTTTAAAATAGCTCAGGGGGTAATAGGACCCCCGTAAAGTATAAATGTGTAGTTAAAAATCCGGTAATAGATTGGGGGATCATTTGACCATTTTCTCTTTATTCCTTCAAAAACCTCTTCCATTTTGAATGTCTCTTTCTATTTCTTTCTTTTTCTTCCTTATTTATTTATTTATGAATAAAATGTTATGTTCTAGTTCTTTTTGTGACTTGCTTTATTCAACTCATGAGTACTCCCAAATTCCAATACTTCGTCAAATATCTATTAACTTTCACTAATATAAATATCGAATAAGTATATTTACCAAACTTGACCAGACAAAAAAAAAATAACAAAATTATCTATTGACATTATTACTAGTAGATAGGATTGTAACTGACAAATAATTTTAATAAAGTTTTATAAAATATTTTTAATTTTATATTTTATAAGAATATTTAATTTCTACATATAAATATCTAAAAATAGCACATAAAAAAAAACTTTGCTAGTTATCTTTTAAAAAATAAATTATAAAGGATTATGCTCACCTATTTTCTCAATTTTAACACGCCTTTTCTTGTAAATTGATATAAAAGTAAATGGGGATGGGCTTACCTATTGTTAATGAATAAAATTTGTTTGCTCATAAATTCACTCTTTTAAGAATAGTTTTTATTTTATTTAAATTAGCCATTAAAATTTTAAATTCATTTTAAAAATTACTTATAACCTATTTTTTAACTTCTTATTGAATTTTAATTAAATTAAAAATTTATATTAAACATATTGATTTATATTTGAAAATTGAAATACATCCTAACAAATATGATTCATTTTTATATCTCAAATCTAAGTCATCTAATAATAAATAAAAAATCATTCATCGCTACACCACAATCATTTCTATTTGTTTATATTTATGAACAAAATGGTATTTTCTAGCTTTTTGTAACTTGTTTGATTTCACTTGTATGTACTTCGATTACTTTGTTAAAAATCTACTAACTCTCACCAATACATTCATCAAATAATTGCATCTACCAAACTTGAGCAGATAAAAACGAATCACAAAATATCTATTAACATTATCACTAGCATGTAGATTATGACAAACATATAATTTTATAAACTTTTATGAATATATTTTTTATAATTTTTACATATAAGATATTTAAAAATAACACTTAAAAAAGCTTTGCAATTTTTTTTTAAAAATAAATTATAAAAGGCTATGCTCACCTAGCTGAGACCTATTAATTAATTAAGAATATTAGTGAAGTTTCATTTTACTAATCAACTAATTTAAAGTTACCTATCAATAACTAAAAGTTGAGATTAAAGTATGAAAATGTCGATTGTTAAATGTTGAGGGAGGTACTTAATTTTTTAAAAAGTAAAATCAGAAATTAAAATTGATTTTCACCCATTTCAATAAGAAAAAACAATATTTTTTTGAGCATTTATTATATGTCTGCGCTATTATAGCAGTCTCCTTATGTATATCAGTATATCTTTTCTTGAATATATTATGCTTTCATTTAAATTCAATATTTTAGAACATTAACTCTGAAAATTGTTGTGCATATCTTGGTAATATGAAATATACGTCTGCATAAAATACTATGAGCAATGACCAGACAATGCAAAAATATTTATACAATTAAATTACTTTAAAAAAAACATATGTGGTATTAATAATCTTATAAGTGGTGATAAGAGAGCTAGGTCGGTGAGTGTATGTAAATTTTAATCTTAGGGTGTTTGGTATGAAGGAAAATATTTTTCAATTTTCTCATGTTTGGTTGGGTAAAATATTTTGGAAAATGTTTTCCAAATCAATTCATTTTCCTCAAATTTAAAGAAAATGACTTCCCTTAAAAAATTAAGGAAAACATTTTCCAAAACTCTCCTCCAACTTCAAATTACAATTTTGTTTTTACCCCACCCTCACCTCCTACCCAC